GCAAGCATCCACCCTGCAGGAATCCGCCACCGCCCCCCCAGAGGTGGGGGGAAGGCTCAGCTCCACACAGATGGGCTCTGCTTGGGTGGAGCCAGATCCAGGAGCCTAAGAACAGTGTTTAGGGCCTGACAGCGCAGTCCCACCCCTGATGAGCTCGGGCAAGCTGCCTGCCCGCCCGCCTGCCTGCCTGCCTGCCTGCCTGCGAGTGGTTGCGTGGCTGACTTTCCCGGGAAAGCACTAATTACCACATGGCTCCCTTGGGGTCTGGCTCTGTGATCTGTCACAGCCCCTCAGCCTGTGACTGCTGGCGCAGTGTCTGAGCCAGTGCTGTCCTACTCTCTGCCTTCCCCCTCCAGAGAGAACAGGAGCCAGGTAAGGGACAGGCTGACTCACAAACGAGGAAGCTGGGCCTGGGCTCACAGACCACAGGCCTCAGCGCCTCCCTAGTCAGTGGTTCTCAAAATGTGGTCCTACACCAACAACATGAACATTTACTAGAAATGCAAATTCTCAGGCCTCACCTGAGATCTTCTGACTTCCACACTGTGGGGGTGGAACCCTGGACCCATTTTTAAAATCCCGCCAAGTGATACTGAAGTCTGCTTACGTTGAACCCCAGCTCTGATTCCTGGGCAGCTACGGCCAAAGGCAGGGGCTTATGGAAGGGTGGTTGTGAAGTAGGGTGAGTTAAAGCACGGACTTCTGGAGATCTGCCTTCAAATCTACACTTCGCTGATGCCTTATCCTGTGAGCTGGGACAGGTTATTTTTTTATATAACACATATTTATTGCCAGCCTACTGTTTGCTGTAGAAGGCCCTGGAACTGCAGCTCCACAATAGCCAATATTAACACTTAACTGTTAGAAAAAAACTTTTAGGGGCTGGGGATTTAGCTCAGCGGCACAGCACCTGCCTGGCAAGTGCGAGGTCGTGAGTTCGATTCCCGGTACCAGAAAAAAAAAAAGAAAAAAACTTTTAGGTATGTAGCCTATCATTAGCCTAATCTGCAAGTGACAAACAGATTACTGAAGTATCTCCCCGCAAGCTAGTCTGAGAGAGCCCTGGGGTGTGAGCCTGGGGATCTGCTTCCAGAGCCAAGGGATGAGCCACTGGGCTACACTGCGCAGTAGTTAGTGAGAGAGGGGGACAAAAATGCGACACAGACACACGCTCTTAGCAGGTCCCAGTGATGCGGTGAAGACAAAGTAGGGAAGTTGGGAGGGCGGGGTGGAGCTGGGGGTGACCACTCTAGCAGGATGGTCTGGCAAGGCCACTAAGGAGGTGGCCTGTGACTAGGAAGCTCTCAAAGTCTGCACCGTCAGCTGTAAAATGACGAGGTCATGAATTCCCTCCACGTGTGGCATGAATATGTCACAAAAGCAAGCCACTCCACCCCTCTGGGCATCAGTTCCCACAGCTACAGCATGGAAGGACAGCAGTCACGCAAGAAGGGCTGTGGTGAGCCTTGGCAATGATCCACCTAAGGCTCGGAACACAGGACAAGGTCCCCCCTCCAGTCCCAGCCCTCTGTCTCCAGCCTGGTCAGCAGTCCCCTTGGTTCCCCAGGCCAAGCAGCCCAAGAGTCCATGCTGTTTTTATTTTTATTGTTCTGGCTCCACAGCTGAGGCCTCCAGCTCCAAATGGCTCCTCTTGCCCAGAAAAATAGGTCGTTGGCAGCTCCAGCCTCTTGACAGGCCCCACACAAAGGCAGCCTGGCGGGCTCGCCTGCTGACGCAGGCCCGGTTACGGGAAGCCAGGAGCAAGTGTGGGCACGGCTGTGCCTGTGTGGGCGGAGCGGGTCCCTGCAGGTCCAACGCACCTGGCACAGTGGCCCTGGTCAAGTCACTTTTTGCCTCTGCCGTTGCTCCTCACCGCTGCAAACCCAGCAGAGCCCAGAGATTCCACAAGAGGACAGGCATACGAGGGCCCACCACTGCAGGCCGGGCCTGGTCCAGATGCTTTTCACACTGAGGGCCACAGTGACCACTTCTACCAAGACTGTCCTGTCGTTACTATTTTGCACGCTAAGGTTCAACACTTTTTTTTCCCTCCAAGTTGTGTAAGTTAAATAACCTGGCTGAGTCTTAACTTCAAAGGTCCAGAGCCCCGCACCCCACGCTCATTCAGGTCTTCTGCAGACCCCCAGACAGCAGGGCAGGGATCAGACCTGACTGGATAAACGCATACCCCGGGCTGCCGAGTGGGGTAGAAGGACAGTGGGATGGTTCACCAGCTGAGAGGTGGCAAAGGCTCAGCCCAGGGCAGTAGTGACAGAGGTATTAGCCCAAGACTTTAGCAGCGGAGGAGCTGACAGTGGCTTGGTTCCGGGTGTGGCGGGAAAGCCCAGCCTGCAGGTCACTCACAGCAGGTAGCGGAACAGCCAAGAAGCCAGTGCAGGATGGAGCCACCTCTGGCTTCCATCTCTCTTCCCCCATGAGACCTTCTGACCCCTTTTCAAAACTGCCTGCTTGCGGGCCTGGTGGCATACGCCTGTAATTCCAGCCCTGGGAGGCTGAGGCAGAAAGATCACTGCAAGTTTGAGAGTAGCTTGGTCTACAGAGTGAAGTAAAGGCCAGCCTGAACTATATAGCAAGACCCTGTCTCCAAAAAAAGAAACAAAAAACTGAACCTGCCTTATCACCAGCGCTCCTGGGCCCCTTTCCTGCTTTCTCCTTCCTGAGCACCCATCCCCATCTAGCACTAAATATTTTCCTATTGATTTGCTTGCTTCTTTGGGCTTGAATGTCAGCTTCTTAAAGGCAAGGATTTGTGTGCGTGTTTTTATTTTCCAACTGCAGCATGCCCACTGCCTAGCACAGTGCCTGGCACACAGTAGATGCTTCATAAATAGTGAGGACTGCATGTTTGGATGAGACATGTATGAAGGCAGCTAGATTTTAATCCAGGGCAGCCAGACAGTTGCTATGGGAGTGACTGGTTCATATCAATTGTCTGCCATAATCTTTCTATGGGACCTCAAGCAAACTGCCCCCTAATCTGCTCATGGTTCTCCATGGCCTCTGGCCATGGGTGATTTTTAGATGAAAGGAGGAGGGGCTCCCCCTCCACCCTAGGGCAAGAGTCAGGGCAACAGGGGCCCCATACTGGGAAGCCCTGCTGAGCGCCTTTGCCAAAGGTGCAGTACATAAATAGCAGATGGTTCAATTATTATCCTCCTAATCCCCAGCTTCCTAATCCCAGGCAGGTTGGTGTGTGCACCCTGGGGAACCATGAACAGCAGTCTTCTGCAGGCACCAGCAGCTCCCTCATCTCTGACCTTACTATAGCAACCCCTCACCCCACCCCACCCACCCCCGCAACAAACACACACCTCCTAGATGAAATCTGGAGCTGGATTTTCCCTTAATGGTCCTGCCAGATGCAGATGTGGTCTGATGAGCTGAAGACCCTCCCGGTGGCCCCCATCAGATGATCCCAGAGTATCTTTCCTCCCTGGCACCTGTTTCCATCCTCCAGCCCCCTCCCCCCGGAAGAAGACTGGCCTTTGGAACACATCACACCAGGGCAGTCCCAGCTCATAACCCCCCCGGCAGCTCCCATCTGCAGAATACTGCAGGCCCTTTGCCTCAGCCTCCAGCCAAGCTGGCCCCAGGACCTTTATCTGTGCTGCTCCCCTTTTTGGATCACCTTTCTCCTCACATCTTCACTTTGCTTTCCCTCATCCTGTCTAAATGAGCTCAGCTGGCTCACTCTCTAAGCTCATCTTCCGTGTTGGTTAGTTTCTCCACTTGCCCACTTCTGTCTCCTCTACTAGAATGTGAAACCTTCCAGGATGGGGATCTCTTGTAATCTCTCAAGCCCAAAGAAATGAAAACCCTGCTCCACTTCAACGCTGCCCAGAACCCTGTAGGGTCGCAAGAACTGCTGCCAAACACCCACCTGTCGGACATTTTCACTGCACTTGGTACATGCTAGGCTCTTTTTTAAATGTGCAGGTATTAAGTTATCTAATCCTCACAATGGCCTTTTTAGGTTGAGCTCATTTTGGATGAGTACGGTGGGGCAGAGAAACTATAAGATATCTTCCCAAGTCTGCAAGGTTCATAAGACTTGCAAGGATACAAGCCCAGGGAGTTAGGTCCATTCTTGCAGCTTACCCTGTCTGCCTCCTTGTCTTAGGAGGAAAGCAGGACCAGGCATTTCACCAGGTGCTGGAGAGGACAGGCCTGACCGTGCAAAGCCCAGAACTCAAATGTCCACATCTCCTTTCTTCCCAGGCCTCACCGAGCCAGTGGCCTGTGACTTATCTCCTCCCTCTCTGGGCCCCAACTCCTCCATTCACCGATGGGGCCTTCTCCTGCTCTGCTTCATTGTCCCTTAACTGCCACCTTGTAAAGCAAAATTAAGTTCTCTCTGAGCTTACTTGCAACTCAGCAACTCTCCAATTAGTGGAGGGTCTTGAACTGCTTTCCCTCCCTCTGCTGGTGACCGGCACTCCAGCTCCCCAGCTCCCACCTGACTTGGTTGCTGCTGTGAACAGACTCTCCCTCAAAGAGGGAGAGAAGGCAGCGTTCTCCACCGGGAGGCTCCGTCCTCTGGGATCCATCCTGTCCTCCTCTCCTCTTCCTCACTGCCCGTCATTCTCTCGGAACCCAGGCCTTCAAGGGCCCCTGTCCCCACACCCGTCTCTGCCTTCCCCAGCCCGAGTGGGCCCTCTCTGGAGACACCCCTTGCCACGGAGCAGCCGCCTCCGGGAAGGGCCGGACCCTTCCCCTCTCTTCTCTCCCCGCCCGGCCCCATCCCCGCGCTCTCCCCAGCGCCTCCCTTCCCGCGGTACCGAAGTCCTTCCTACACACGCGCTATTTTTGTACCATCACACTCTCCTTCCTCTCCCCCTTCCCCCTACATTCACTTCCTGCTCTGCTTCCCCCGGCCCAGCTCGGAAAGACGCGGGCCCCTCTGGCCCCGCACCTACCGCACGGCGGACCTTCAGCGCTGGGACCCAGGGGCAGGGCCTTCGGGGAGGGGCAGAGGCGAAGCTCCCGCCCCTCCATTCCCCTCGCCGCCGCGCCGCCCGCGGCCTCTGGCGGGCGGGACCTGGGATCTACAGCCCGGCCCGAGTGCTCGGCCGCGGGGAGGTGGCCACAACTTCCCCAGTCCACCTTAAGACGAGGATGTGACCAGCCCGCGGCGCTGACCTTACGAAAACAAGTTTGCGCAAAGTGGAGCGGGGGCCGGCGTCCGGGCAGCCCAGGCAGCGCTTCCTCGCCTCGCAGCCACCCGGCGGCGCAGGTCCGACTAGCCGGGCGCGGAGCGGAGGGGAGCGGAGGGGAGCGGAGGGGAGCGGAGGGGAGCGGAGGGGAGCGGAGGGGAGCGGAGGGGAGCAGACGGCGCCTGCGGCCGGGCGCAGCGCGGGCTGGGACTGGCGGGCCGGGAGCCGGAGCGGGAG